TTTAGGATCAAAAGATCATCATAAAAAGCAAGTGTACTTAAACAGATAAAAATCCCATAGAGCCCATACCTATGAAGATTGTTGTGTGAAATCTACACATACCCGCTAATGTGTTCACTACCACATGGTAATTATGTACTTTATGCATCTAATAGTAAACCTATTTAACAATTACAATTTCAGAACATTTCATCCACCATAAGTCCAATAAAATTTTAAAACAATAAATGAGCAAACATAAAGGCCAACAAAATAATTAAAACTAGAAAACAACTCTTTAGCCATGCTGGGGTTAGAGAGAAGACATGTATCATGCTAAATGTGAAGAGAGGCGACCACTAAACTTCCAATCACAATAAATTTAAAAGAGCAAAAGAAAACGACAAGCAAATAAAAATTGATAAACAAAATAGGACGCCAATGCAGCAAAAGTAACCACAAACAAGAAAGGGTGCTGGAGCAATCCAATAACCAACACAACAGATAAATATAACACGATATTCAGACAAAGAAGATAGAGCTCTAACGAAGTTTGCAGATTAACCTCTGGTGACATAAGGGAAAAACTTGGCAAACCCTCTTCTATCGATAGGGATCCAGAAATTCTCGAGCCATCTGGTAGTATGATCATAAATCATCAAGTCACCTTTGGTGTCCTCATAAAACAATTTATCATTGTTGTAGAGGTTCAGCACTTCACGAGGAGCAGCAGCTGCAGGGATATCGAATGTGGAGACGAGGGACCAGAAGCTGCCTCGCGCATTCCAAGCCCAAATCTCAAAAAAAAAAAGGACTGACCTCGGACTCAAAATAAATAGCGGCAAGAGAGCCCTGAAACTCAACTAGAGCAACGTTCTTCAACTTCCACAACTTTTCCTTTTTGGGTAGAGGGATAAGAGCATGAAACTGGTCATTAGCAAAGTCGAACGACATAATGGAGAAACTGCCATTAAACCCTTTAACTATCCAATAGTAGAAGCCATTAATGTGAATAGAAAGGAACCCACTTAAGCTCAAGAGGGTTTCATAAGGACAGTGAACGGCCTTCCACGAACTAGTTACCAGGGTAAACACCTCAGCATAGTTTTCTAGAAAGCGGTCCACCCACAATCTGACCAGCTTATAGTGCCCAGATGAAGGATCAAACCCGAAGCCGTAAGCCCACACGCTATCAAGAGTGTTTAGGAAAGGCGAGGGCGAACAGACGAATCTACACGTATCCGTCTCCATGTCCCACAGAAGATTCTGTGCCTTGGAATCAAATTCAAAACAGGTAGTCTCCAAATCCGAGTACAGACAATAAGTTGCGAGGAAGATCCTCATCATCCTCGTCTAATAGTCTGAAAGAGTTGCCTTCGGTTGAGATTACATAGAAATCGAAGGTTTGCTTGGATTCGCTCCTCACCAGGAACCTGACGTTGAGCTGAGCATTAGCGGATTGCATCAATTTCGATTCAAGAGCTTTGCTACTGTCTGAACATTTGGATCTGGATTTGGATTTGGATTTGGTAAACTGATTGTAGCTGTTTAAGAAGGATCCCACTACCAAAGAAGAACGATTCGCCATACTCTGTCTCTCGATCTCTCCACAATAATCGACTCAACAACAGCGCAAACCCGTGACTTCCAATTTATCGTACTTAATTCCTTCTTACACTATGATTAGGACAATCTATATTTATATCGGTATGATTCCAGTGCAATGCACGTGGAACACATATTCAATAATATTAATGTTTACTAGTACAGTACCCGTGCAATGCACGGAGACATTATTACCTACTTTATTTTTAAAATGCACTTTTTGTATTTAAATTGCCTCATTACATTAAAAATATTATGAAAATAAAATTTATATATTATTAATCATTTTATGTATAACATTCTTAGTTTGATTCTTTGGAACGTAAAATACTTTATGAGTGTTCGATTTTTATCTAAAATTATGTATTATTAGTTATTAATTAATAAATTAAATTTAAAAAAAAAATTAAGGGATCTTATTTATTAAAAAAATTATAGTAGAAAGAAAGTAGAGATTTTTAGGATTTGTTCACACTATTTTTTTAATTCTAATTCATAATTTTGATTAAGTAAGATTGAAAAGAATCATTTGTTTTTTCTAAAAATTCAACCGAATTTTCATACCAATGCACTGATTTTTTTATCAAACAAATTGATCCGAATGTTTGGTTAAAACAAAGTGAAAAAAAAAAATCATCAATTTTTCCCAAAAATGGAACCAAATTTTTCTAACACTGGGCCGATTTTTTTTACTAAACAAATTGAATTGAAATTAATTCTAATAAAAGATCAGAATATTTGTTAAGATTTATGCAACTGTTTCTCAGTAAAACATGGTTAAGAAAAACATAAGGATCCAAAAACATCGGTTCATTCAAATTTTAAAAAGTTGCACATGATTTGATTTGAACTTTATTTCCTAATTAATTGGATAAGGTTTGATTTTAAATGTCAAAGATGAACCGATTTTGTTACCAAAAGGTGGATACGATTTTGAATATATATCCAGTCCAAATTTTAATTTTGTTTTAAAATAAAAATTGTTATTCAATTTGCACACATTTTTTAAAGAAAAAATTATTCAAAAAGATTGAAAGAATTTGTTAAGAATTATACAACTATTTATTTACTAAATTTGTATCCAATTTGCACGGTTTTTAAATTAATTTGTATTTGAATTTGTTTTCGTGAATCTCCAAACTTGTCACAAAAAAAATAGGATTCAAATTTGATAAAAAAAAATAAAAAATGATACAAAATAAATAAGATTCATATTTTGGCATAAGAATCTCCAAATTTATTACGAAAAAAATGAGATTTTGTTACTAAAGATCTAGATGTATTTTTTCAAAATTTCTACTAATTGTAAGTCAACCCATTTATTTTTTTGGTCAAAGTTACTAAAAATAATTTTAACAACAATCTTTTTATATTAGTATAGATTTTTGAATTTGAATTTTCTCATGACATTAAAAATATCATGCTTATCAATTTTATTTTTCAAATCCTTATCCGATTAGTTACTTGTTTTCTAGATATATAACAACCATTAGTATTTTGGATAGCTATGAATCAAAAAAATATAAAATATCTATATAAAATATAAAAATAAAATTGATATCAAATGATATTTTTATTTATGTAAACTAACACAAGGAACGATATAGTAATATATTATTTAAAAACATGGATTTAAGTAATAATCCGAAAATTTGTGAAAACCGATTTGAGTGCAAACCAAAAGAGTGTGATTAGAACGTGTATTTCGATTTATTACAAATATATAGTATATATTTTTTTTATTTGTTGCTTGGTTTGTAGATATATTGTTTTAACAACCAAAGATATTTTGTAAATTGTGGAGTCTAAGAAGTATAACTTTTATATTCAAAATATCATTTTATAAAAGATCGGGTTGGTCTAACAAATAAGCTCATGCTTATCGATCTTATTTTTTAATTGCATATCGGAATAGTTAATTAGTTTGTTTGTACATATTTTTTTTTATTCCAACCAAATATATTTAGTATTTTGAATATTGTGGATTCTATGAATAATTCAAATATTGGTATATGGTTGTAGAATTTAATTCAAATTCATATAGGATTAGGATTTATGGTTATAGATTTATTTGGTTTTTACAACCCAATGGTAGAATAATTATTAAAGATTTGGTGTAATATTTGGCTAGATATATCATTGCACTAATAAGCGATTAAAATTCTAAATTATGTTAAATGAGATTTTCGTTTGATTATATTCCAAGTAAATCATTAGTATTTATCAGTAGGATATTTTTTTCAAACCCTTTTCCGATTAGTTACTTGTGTTCTATATATATATTTGTAACAACCATTAATATTTTGGATAGCCTGGATTATATAAATCAATAAAATATAAAATATATCTATATAAAATATAAAAATAAAATTGATATCAAATGATATTTTAATTTATGTAAACTTCCAATCGGATCAATATAGTAATATATTATTGAAAACCATGGATTTAAGTAATAATCCGAAAAATTGTGAAAACCTATTTGATTGCTCATAAAAGAGTGTGATTAGAACGTGCATTTCGATTTATTGCAAATATATAATATATATTATTTGATTTGTTGCTTGATTTGTAGATATATTGTTTTAACAACCAAGGATATTTTGTACATATTTTTTTATTCCAACCAAATATATTTAGTATTTTGGATAGTGTGAATTCTTTGAATGATTCAAATCTTGGTATATGGTTGTAGATATTAATTCAAATTCATATAGTGGGCACCATAAGCCATGCCACAATATGATGTTGCATGTGATGTGACTTCATTAATTAGATTTATCAATTCCATGACAGATATTAGGTGGCTTTTTGAAAAAAACTAATTCATACAAAATCAGTTTATAAACTGTTCCCAAAATCAATTGTCGTTCCCCCAAATCCACTTCAACGTCACACAACCTCATTCACCGACGCCACCGCTATGGCCACAGTCGAGAGCTTTTTGCGGTGCTTTTTCCGGCGAAATGGTGGCCGCGGTGATCTGCTTTGAGGGGAGAGAGGAGTTCGAGCAGTTAGGGAAAGGGGGAATTCGTACCTCGAATTCAAGCTGTCGGGGAGAAATTATAGCTCGTTGTTAGATAGGTTGAGGTCGGTGGCTTTAATCACATGCAAACAAACACAGACAATAGAAAAAGCAACCAAAGCCCTCTAATCAAACAGAAAAAAGATTTGATCTTTAACTATGAAATCGACTTTTGCTTACAAAATTAGCTCATGAAAAAAATAAAAAGCCAGGAATTGATAGAATCCAAGAAAATATTATCCCAAATGATGGCCTAAATTGTTGATTCAGATAGTGAAAATGGAGCAAATATGTGTAATTTTTCTTTTTTTTTTTTGTTACCTTTATTCACTTCATTACTCCCAGCCATAGGCCGCCCCTCAAAAATTGAAATAAAAAATTGGTAAAAAGGAGAAAAGGGGAATCTTTTTGCATCAAGTATTATTATTAGGTTGTTAAAGTTGTTAAAAAAAGGCAAAAAAATTTGAATTGATTATCAAAGATGTTTCTAAAAAAAAGGGATAAAACGTTATCACTATCACATCCTAACGGATTACCAAAATTTTTGAAAATCATTATCACATGTGTGTTTTAGAATATTACTTATAATAGTAAGTCAACATGGTTGACTCATTAATTTTTAAAAGTTTCCACAAATGATTTATTGACCTCTCTTTTTCAATATATATAGATAAATTAAACATGCTCATTAGATAATACTTAGAGCATCCGTAATCCTTTGGGTTCAACCACAAAAAATTGTATGCTACCTAAGAAATAGACATAGTCTAAAAAAATATATTTTCCAATGCAAACAAAAGTAAATTGGGTCATGCCGATGTGACAGCCAAAACAAGAGACCCGCTCTACCTTTAGGTCTATTTTAGACCCAAGTAGAGACCTAGTCTCTTTGCATTGGAGTGCATTTTATCAATTCTACATAGTTTTATCCATGTCATTCAAGACTTTGGTTTATTTACATGCCACATAGGTAAGACTAGACCCAATGCATTGTAAATGCTCTTATAAATTAAAAGTATGGAATCAATATGTAATACAATTTATATTAATTTATTGAAAACATTATAAGAAATTTAAATTACATAATATTACTTTACGCCCAGGTTAATATTGACTCGTAAGTTATGAATAATTACTTATTTGAATTTTAAATTTGAAACCCAAATTTGAACTACACACTAAATTCCCTTATATATTTCACACACACACACACACACACACATACACACACACACACATATATATATATATATATATCTCACATTTTTCTAGATTTATTGTTGGTTATCGTATCATTCAAATTTATCAACTAATTCTCTGTAATTGAATTACAAATTTAAAATTTTGTTAAAACAATATTTGATCAAAGATCTTTATGAAAAGTTATTATGGGTATATGACAAAATTGATAATCATATCACATTGATTTTATAACAATCAACCTAAAATTTAACTTTAATATTCATATCAAATAAAATACATACCACTTATTTTATTTTTAAAATTTTTAAATACACTTTTATCCATTCCAAATAAAACTCATACCGTTTACATTCGAACATTTCATACGAAAATAAAATCGCTCGAACATTTCATACGAAAATAAAATAGCCCATTTTATACCATAAAATCTGACATTCATTAATAACACCACATTTCCTTTCAAAAATAAAAATGACCATCGGATACATAAAATAAAATCGCCCACTTTATACAAAAATCAAATTTATTAATATCTAGAGGTTGGAAATTTTTAAAAAATTTCATAAGAAATTACCAAGTTTTAGTAATTTTAAATTTTTTAAGCGGTATTTTAATTTCTATTAATACAAACCTTTTTATACATACATAGATATAGATTGCCTAGCTGATAGCTGATAAGCTAACTTATAGCTTTATATGTAATTTTTTAACGTAGCCTATAACTTATGACTTATAGCTGAAAAGCTAGCTTATATGAGTGGGCTATGTTTGGTAGACAGATAAGCTAGCTTATAGCTTATTTGGTTAGCTTATAAGCTCCCTGTTTTCAAATAAGCTCCGTTTGTTAGGACGATATTTTTTAAAAAGTTCGAGCTTATTTGATAAGCTTTTTTAGGTAGCTTTTTAAAAAACTAGTTGCAATAAAATTTCAACTAGCTTATCAGCTAATTTTCCCGAAGACTTTTTTCATATAAGCTAGCTTTTCAGCTATAACTCATAAGCTATAAGCTATAAGCTAAAAAATTACTGATAAGCTATATGGTAGCTTATCAGCTAGTTTTACCAAACATAGCTAAAAGTGTTTGGTAAAATTAGCTTATAAACTAGCTGAAATAAAAAGTTTAACTAGTTTATTTGAAAAACTACCTAAAGTAACTTATGAGATAAGCTCGAGCTTTTTAAAAAAGTTCGTCCTACCAAACGAAATTTATTTGAATACAGAGAGCTTATAAGCTAACCAAATAAGCCATAAGCTAGCTTATTCGACTTACCAAACATAGATACGATTTACGGAAACATAATCTATGAAAAAAAAGGTAATAGTTAAATTTTCATTTAATCACATGGATAAGATAGTCTGTTAAACATACAGTATCCAAATTATAGGAAATATTCTGGAGAATTAGTTAAAATTAGTCGGTAATTTAATTGTTGAAAAATTGTATCATGTCAATTTTTACTCAATATACAATATTATAAGAAATGAAACTTTCTTAATAAGTTAAAAAAGTTAAGAGACACTATATTTTTAAATCATATCAAATTATTTAAAAAATAATAAATATATTATTTGAGTTTAGGATTAGAAACTATTACACAATCATCACATAAAATTAGTCAGATAATGAAAAATTTTAACCTAACTTTAATTAAACTAAGAGATTATGTGATAGCTAATTTTTTTATTTCATATTTTGTACAATTTAATATGTTGTTCATGTATTAAGTTCAAACATAGTCAATTTTATATTCTGTATTATTTTAACATACTACAATAGTTTGATTTCTCTTAATTTTTAGGATGAGAACATCACGAAATATGATAATGAATGGATGGTATTATGCTCAATTACAAAATCATAATAAATATAACAAATAAATAATTTATAGCATGAAATGATCCTAATATCATGCATATTGTTTATTTTGCCTTCACTCATGTATTATAAATATCAAATTATCTAGAACAAAAAATGCCGAATTTGTCAGGTTGATTTACTCGAAGTGAAAAATCTGTTATTTTTTATCGGCAACTGTTTTAAAAAAGGGAAGGAAAAATATTTGAGTAACGCCATGAATATGTCCACAAACTTATAATGGAAAAAAAATATATATATTATATTAGATTTAATCACTTGTAGAAAATTTAGGAATGAAAAAAACAAATGGAATACGGAATTGTAGGGATTAACATTAGAGAATTCAAATTTATAATAATGCTAAGGAGCCAATTGTTGGCTCCTTTATGAAGCCAACTACTAACCTTGAATTAAGGATGCATTTAATGTTGTCCAATTTATTTTAAAAGAAATTTAAAAAAGTTACTACATTTGGGCTGCAATTAATATTCCGTTTTCTTTTTTGTTGCTATTTTTGGTAAATAGTTATTCTTATTAAATATACTAGTACAGTACCCGTACGATGCATGGGAGCATTTATTACCCACTTGCTTTTTAAAAAGTATGTTTGTATTTAAATTGTCTTCTTCTACTAATATCGTGTTAGTCAATTTGTGTTTTATTCATGCAGTGTATGATGTGTAGTATAAATATAAATGCCGAATGTTCTTACTGATTCTATTTTTGTTATAATGTTATTAAAATAGTATAACAATTACATACACTGCCAAAAGAAGTGTAGTTTTAATAACCGAAAATGATAACATGTATATATATAAAAAAATAACCTAATTAGGTCATACCAAATTGTTTATCGGTAAGGACATTGTCATCTTTGCCTCCAAAATCACTGAAAAACAAACTCGGAAGTAGGTTTTGATTGCATTGGCTTGCCTACTTTATAATTGGGACATTATATGACCATGATTTGCGGTAATATAGTTGATATTATTTTGTTAATTTATTGCCTATCTTGATTATTATCATGTTTCAAAAAATTAGTTTATTCGAAGTGTGAAAAAAGCAACAAATTATATTTTTGAATTTTTATTTTGCTATGGATTTTTTAGTTATAAAATAAATTATAATAAATTGCGGTCTTTATATTCTAATTGCTCGATAGTTGCTAGTTTAATAGATGGATGGTGCCGAATTATATTCCGTAGTTTAAAAAATGGTACATAATTGAATAAAAGATATAACATTTACTATCCAAACAACATTTTTTAATAATTCAGAATTGGCAAAAAGTTATATGTTGTCAATCACCGATCAGAAAACCAATAATATGAATTGTCTCAAAATAACATATAAATGTTTATGAAAAGAGTTCAAAAAAATAAGCAGAATAATCCATAAAAACCTAAAGATCAACAAAATAGGCCTATAATAATTCCATAACTTATTAAAATCACTTCGTAATTCATTCGTCATCCTCCAGTCCTAGATCATGTGACTCGCCAACCTTAGTTTTACCCTTTAAGTTGTGTCAGACCGCATTGCTACCAATTTTTGGTGCAGTAGAAACCGAAAAGTTCATCCATAGATTGCACTTAGCAGTTGACGTGCCGTCCACGTGCTCAATTGCTTGAACAATCTTCAATGGTGTAGAAACTTCATCATCTTTGGTTGCATCCTATGTAAAAAGTGTTTATAGGAAATAAATAAAGAAAAATATGAAGGTTGTAAAATTTGAAAACATGTAGTTTATTCCATTCCATTATCATGATCTTTCCTCCATAGCAGAGTAAGAAAATCCGATTTCTATAATTAAAGTAAAAAATTGAATTAAAATAATATACATAAATATATTATGTCATCTCTTCAACCGACTAGGTATGTTTGGAGACTAAAGATTCATTAGTCACAACCCTCAGTCTTCATAGCCCGCAATATATAAGAAATTAATTTATAATCTATTAATTACACATATAATATTCTAACTATCACAAAAGAAAATATTGGTGTAGATTAATCTATTTCGAATTATACCTCATGAGTCTCATATAGAATCGATTGAATTAATAACCACATCTCCTTTTTCGATCTCTTTCATTTATTCTTATGAATAACTCTGCTTGTAGACACATACTTTGTCTTATTTCCACGACTTGCTGAAAACCTATACGGTTGAAACTCATTCCAATAAATGGAGCAAGATGAGTACTGAGAAATATATAATCCAACATTTATTAAAGTACTCAGCTGAACTTCAATTTATATTATTTTGTGTACTTTGATGTTTTATCAATTGAATTTATTATTGTACTGATGAAATAAAATTTTTGTATTTTGTTTTATTTTATTTATTTAATGTTGCTTCTTATTGTAAGTATATTAATCGATTCATTTGAAGCAAAAGAAATTTACTGAAAATTAATTTTATGATTACTTAATCCGTCGCATGAAAGACAGAAAATTATGCCATTAATTGTCGCTCATAATAGGATATTAAGAACGGACCCATCCATTACAAATTTGGTTTCTATTACTGAATAATTAGGAATAAATAGTCTCGTTTCTTATTCGGTTGCTATTCCTCAAGTACTAGAAACAAGTTGCTTGTTACAAAAATCTTTAGTGATAGCAACGGAACGAAATCCGTCTCTAAGCATCAGAACCCCTGTTTTCACTAACCAATAATGTAACGGAAAATACTTGTTTCTATTGTTTATTAGTAACAAAAATTTTCCCTATTGCAACACAATTTTCCGTTATTGAAGTCTCACTTCCTAGTAGTAAATTTTGGTATACGTGCTTTAGCAAGCTATCTTTTGAATAGTAATCTCTATTCTGAAAATTGGTAAGTGGATTCAATATATGTGAGGGAAATACAAATACATATATGGTCATGCTGATGAAGTGTTTGGCCCAGTCAATTTTGTCCTCCATTTCCATCCCTATCTCAAATAAGCTATAGACGCAGGCTTGTCGGGCATAACCGAAAGAGGAGAAAAACTCAGGCTGATGAGATTACATCGCGAGTATTAATTCCTGGTAATTCACAAAAAAATATCAACTGTGATGTTAATGTCATCAATTTATTGACAGCGGTAGCTCATGCACAAGGTATATAAATTCAATTATTATCACTCATACCAGATTTTTCCATGTCCATCTTACTTCTACTAAATTGTCCTATAGTAATTACAGGGAACAATGAAGACCAAAGTGGCGAATTCTCACCAGCACCTGAAAAAGGAAACCTTCTACAAATTCTCGGTGAAATGAATTCGCGGCCCCTGCCTGAGAACTTAGCATCCAATCTACCTCTCATCAAAACCTCAAGTTCAAGTTTTCCCAATCGCACACGGCCCGAAAGGCTGAACCAAACAACCATGGACTTGCTAGCAGCTCTTTCATCAGAAACTCAGTCTCAACTGAGCTTCGAGGGTAGAAACTCCGAGAAAAGCAGGCCATCTTAAGTTGACCAAGTCAACCTGCCCAGAGGAGAGAGAAATACGGGTCACAATTCTCCAATGGAAGAAATAGATGGTCATTATGTCACCTTCCCCAGCCTGCAGTTACAGTTGTTTAGTTCGTCAGCCATGGATAGTCTTCACCTCCTTTCATGCATAGTTTGTTCCCCATGCAGACATCGAGAGAAACATTAAATGCTTGTTTTTCAAATAGGGAAGGTGATATTGCGTGTCTGAAATCGAGAACGAGCAATGGGGGTGGTACTTCTCTTTAGCTCTTTGAAGGCTCGATCCAAGTTAATGAGAATCGTTCATATCAAAGTTCTCAGTGCAGAGCTGATTACACATCATCTTCTTCGGGGTCTGACCCTTCACCATCTAGCATGGACTCTGATTCTCAGGTATTTCTGTATCTCATTTTATTGACAAGTTATTTGATTGTACCTCTTCCTCATGCAAGTCTGGAAAAATAGAAGTGATGGTTATTTTGATATGAGATTAAAAGAGTTTCACCTCTCAAAGAGTTTCACCCCCTAGAGGCGCTGCCACCCCTGTAGGGTGACGCCACTGCCCGTGATAGCAGACAGTGAAGGCGGCTCACCATAGTTGGTAGACGTGCCCAAAAGCATATTTTTTGGACTTTGGGTGAAGGGGACATTAGTTTTTGGGATGAGTGGTGGTTTGGTGACGGATCCCCCAACTTCCCTTTCTGCAGGTGAAGGACCTGTGGACGGAATAGGATAGGGATAGGTTAGAGAGGATTCTGAGTAGTGGAGCGGGCTTTAGTGACCAGAAGATAGACGAGATCCAGCAGATATCCATAGCGGAGGGCGGTTTGGATGGTATGAGGTGGAGACTTACATCTTCGGGTGCATTCTCTATGACCTCGGCTTTGGGGGAAGTACAGCTGGGTGACCGGCCTAACCTTCTCTTCGGGGCTATCTGGACCGGCCTACTTACCCCGACCATCTCTATTTTTCTATGGCGCCTTCTTCTGCGCCGCCTACCGATTGATACTGTGATGCAGACGAGGGGGTTTTCATTTCTTTCACGTTGTTATTATTGTGCTGAGACCGGCGTTTTTCAGACTGAGACCTTTAGCCGTTTGTTTCTTGAGAGCGAGACTGTGAGGAGAGTGTGGGAGCATTATACCAGTTTCACTCATATATCCCTACCCTCCACAGATAATTTCTTTGAGCTCGTGAGTTTCTTCAGACACAGCACACACGATAGACACGTGGGCTTCCTTATTCTTTGTCTGATCCTTTGGGCCACCTGGACAGAAAGGAATAATGCAAAGCATAGGGATAACTCTTTTTTGTCTTCCCATATTATTTTGCAGGTTGATCGACATCTCTCTCTCCTCACAGCTTTGGGCAGACTCACGCATAGAGACTTGACAAGTTGCACGCCTCCTCACCGCCTTGTACCACCTCCACTGTCGCCTGTCCAGCATGCACGCCCCCGAGCTGTTGTTTTGCTAAGACCTGAGCCTCATTAGGTTAAGCTGAACACTGATGGATCCTTTGACCGACTTACCGGAGCCACCGAAGGCGGGGGTCTGATTAGGGACCATAGCGGGGCTTTTATTACCGCTTTTCATGCACCTCTTCGGGCCTCTTCGAGCTACGACGCAGAGATTCAGGCGCTTCAGATCGGTCTTCAGATTGCTACCTCGATCTCCTCTCACATTTGGATAGAGTTGGACGCTGCCGCTGTCATCACTCTCTTGACCACTGACCATCAGGGCACATGGCAGATTCAACATCCGCTCATGCGTATTAGGGCCATACTTCGGTCGATTCGTTTTCAGATCTCACACATCTTCCGTGAGGGGAACCGCCCTGCTGATTTTCTCGCAGGCATCGGGTCCTCCACTCTCCAGAGACGCATTCTTTATCCTGACGATATTCCTCTTCGCCTCCGCACTCTTATACGGATGGACCAGATGGGATACCCTTCATTCAGATTTGGGTAGCCGGTCTTACCTCTTGGTGCACCCGCCCCCCGTGATACTGACTCTTTTGCCTGGACTCTTCCCGGACCAGGAGATGATATAGTTATGTTACTGGCAGTTATTGCCAGCTTTGTAATGTTGTTTTGTCTCTTTTGGTTTTCCTTTTTGTTTGACTTGTTGTATTTCAGATTTTGGACCTGTAGATCTGTGACTTTCCAGCCTATTTAGGACAATTATATATACAGGTTGGGGGTCTGGCCTAACCTCCCACCCCCCGCGGTGGTTTCGAAAAAGAAAAAAAAAAAGAAAAAAATTTATCAATCTCTATTTGATATTCTTTTTCTATATTTTAAATTTGAGTTGTGATACATTTTAGGTTCAAAGATTGGGTTACTGAAAATAAGTATGACAAATATACTTTTTTTTTTTCAAATTTTTGAAAAATATGTAAATAATTAAATGTTAATTTTCAACGATTGATATTTATAAGGGGTTTATAAGTGGGTGAAGAATGTATTTTTAGAAAATATATAGTTAAATTTAAATTATAATTATTATGAATATATTGAACGAAAAAGTGAGATAACTGAATAGTGTATATTTGTTAAAAATATTTTGTATTCAATCACTATCATATATGGCAAAAAATAAAATTGTTGGGCAATACCTTTTTTAAAGAGTCGATAATGGTTCTTCACTTACTCTCTGTATGACTCGAACTCGGAACCTATTGAACCTTGTGATATACTTAAATGAACATGTTTTAGATATATATATATATATTTACGTTTTAGATAACTTCTTTTTTGTGTAATCTTCGTTTTCTTTTGCACTGTACTATAACAAATTTATGGGAGATGCTACGGTCCCGTTACGGAACCATTCCGTAAAGAACTGTCTTTTCTGTATACTTTCCCCCGTCGGGGTTTGTAACCATTGGATCAACTATCTCTGACGGTTACATAATGATATAACTGTTACGAATCCTGACAGAATGGTTCCGTAACGGGACCGTAGCATTTCCCCATTTATTTTGCAAAGAAGAAATAACATATTTTATTCGGGAAGTGAGAGAATATGGAATGCAAAATTGATGGTTATAACTTATAAAGATGCATTTTAATTGGACAGTTCACATTACATATTTATTTTATCTATTTCTATCATCTATGTATATAATTTGTAACGCCCCACTTTGATTTAACGAAAGTCCATGGCTTTTCAGAAAAATCAACTTAATTTTTCAAAACTCATTTCAAAACATTGGTGGCGTTACTCATTTATTTCAAAGTCAATATCATAAATAACAGTCATAACAATGACACCATAACATAATATCAACTCCCATAATGGGTCCATCCCAAGTCATCAATCACCCAAACCGGGTTTTCAAGTTTCAAAGCAAAGACATCACAATGTCAAAAGGGGCATCTCCCCAACGAGTGTCCCAAAACACAATTATCCCAAGTTCATAAATATCCCAAGTTCATAAAATCATAAATAAACTCAAATAGCGGAAGCAATACATTCAATGGTCTAGTCATATAGACCGATCACCACTCGCCTTGCTTCGCCGTGCCCGCAACCTGCTTAACCTGCCTCTGTGAAAGAAAAGTGGGGATGAGCATATTTGGAATCCGTGGTGCTCACCACTATGCAAATAAACAACAAATAATATAAGGCAGGTATGGTCGCAGCATGTATACGAATCAATAATCTATCCCATCTCTTATCCCAAAGTTAAGTCTCATGTGGACACCTACGCATAGACTACTGCTGATACACGTATCGAATTCCAAGGCCCTTTTCTTTGTCTTACAACGATGCCCAGCCAGTAGGAGTAATCCACCCCGCCGGTGAAGGCCCTTGCCTTGGTCTTACTACGAGGATCACCGGCCGAGGGCCCTGCCCTGGTCTTACGGCTACAAAAAGGAGATTACCCAACGGGTCCGTTTTATAGCTACGGGGATAACCTTTCGACGGCCGGTACAGCTCACATCAAAGGCTATATGGTTCACATGCATACATTGATCATACCACACATATAGCATCAGGTTATCGCATAACAATTTAAATAAAACCCACCTGGTTCAGCAAAAATGGAATGTCTTCGATCTGCTGTGTAGGTTGCGAGGTCGACTCATCAAACACCTACATTTAGTCAAGATAACTTCATAAGTATCTTATCTTGACCCTTAGAATAACTCACGAATAATCATACTTAGCCGAACATTTTCGACTAAGTTGTTCGTGAAGTTCTGTGGAAGTTGGAACACTAGGTTTTGAAAGCTAGACTTGGGACTTTAATTTAAAAACCTTTAAAAATTGACTCGACATGAAAAGCGAGGTCAAACAAGGTCAAACGGGTCAATGAAAGTCAAAATGTTCGAAAAAAAATTGGAAAACAGTTCAAAAGAGGTCAATGGACAGGGTTCGGGCTCGGACCGACTCGATCGGGGTGCAGCCGGGTGGTCTGGCACGGGCCTGGGCACGCTGGGCATGGCAGGGGCGCGGTCTGGGTGCAGTTGGAACAGTGGGCGCGGTCTGGGCACGGCTGGGCACTGGCCTAGGCTCGTCGGGGCGTCTGAGGGTCGGCTGATGGCCACCGCGGAGTTCTGGGTGACGCGGGTCGCTGGCTGTGGAGACGCGGGCATGCACGGGTCGCTGCAGGGAACACGGAACGCGCAGACAGGGTGCACCCCGGGTACAGACACGGGACAGAGACCCGGGACACAAACATGGAATTTAATAACACCCGAACCTTTTTAAAATCAACTTGACCGATTTCAACGAAACTCTACCACATTAAAATAAACCCAAAAATACACAATTACACTAGAGGTCATCCTCTAAAAATCAGTTTAATCAATTTTTGCAAAATAAGATTATAAACTAGGGTTTTCAAGTTCTTCAGCCAAATGATCGAATTTTTAAACGAAAATTTGGACACAACATCAATCAAAGCAAAATATCATAAATCCTAGAATTTCAATTCAAAATAACCAAGTCTCGATTTTATACGGATTTTACAAGAATCTGACCAGAATTTGAAATCCCCAGTTCATCAGGTTATACTTCGAGTTTTCAAATGAAATTTTTACACGAGACATAACATCAACAAAGGGTTCATCCCTCAAAATTTTAGATCAAAATCTCGAGTAGTTAATTAGATCTCGATTTTACAAAATTAAAGGACTAGATTGGATTCAAAAATCCAAAACTCCAAATATACTCAACCAAATCGTCCAAAAAATTTTTCAAAAGGTTAAGGACGTTCCTAGGTTCCATTATCCATCGGCTTTCACGATGGGTTGCATGTTTCAAGATGATTTCAACAAGAACTCATCAAACATGAAATAAACTCAACATTTTTCACATAAGTTCATCAATTTCATATCAAAACTAAAAGGACAAGCATCATAACATCATAAAATTCAAAATAAGGAGAGGGTACAACCATCAAGTACCGTTCTCGGGGTCCTTGCACTAAAAAGCACAAGAAAAATGAGGTCGGGGCTCGGTTGCACGCGCGGGGATGGCTCGGCGGCTAGGACTCGGCTCGCCGGAGGTCGGGATCGCCTTGGACAGCGGCGGTTGGCCCCTTGCTGGCTGGGAAGCTCTCGAACAGGGGCTAGAGGTTCGAGGGTTTGGCCGTCGTTGGCGTCGGGGTGCCGAGGGGCGCTACGCGGGTTCGCCGGCGGGCGTGGGTGGTACGCGGATGGTCGAGGAGGCGGTGTTCGGGCGTGGGAAGGGNATGGCTTAGAAATTATTTCCAAGTGTTCGGTTTGACCCCAGTTTGACTTTGGCTCGGTTCGGTCAATACACGAAGATAAAAATCGATTCTTGGTCCGGTTTGAATCGAAATTTCGAACGAATTAATTTAATTAAATCGAACGAAACATTATATCATCTTTAAGACAATATAATATGATGGCTTTAATCGAGAAATAATCATAAATAGCCAAAATAAAATAATACCATATAATCGCATAAAATCCAAATAATCACATAAATTCCAATAATCTAACGGGCGTTACATAATTGCTGGCTCATGAGCATTTAAAACCTATTAAATGATACCTATGTGGCAATATAATTTTTTCCCTCCAAAAACTGTTACTTTTTATTTATTTAACCTCTCATTTAATTATTAGATAATCAACACATTAATCACTTCAAAATTACAAAAATCATTTTAAACTTTTGATTTACTTACAGCTGACCATATAATGTGTTGACTATTTAACGTGATTAGATGTCATTGTTGTGTTTACATTTAAATTAACTTCTTTTGGAAAATAAAAAACGTATTTGAAATTTCTAAATAAATTATGAATAATTCACAAAAAAAATATATAGCAAAATATACATTACATCCAATATGATAAACGTAATTTAAAAAAATAAATATTCCATTTCTTTTAATTGTACATTTGACCTGCAAAAAAATACAAGAAAAATCATTAATCATTATATGCATACAAATAATTCATAATATTTTATTTATATATGTGAATTTGTACAGGTCAAACACTAGTTAGATACTGACCGTCGTACTATTATTGTTACTTTCCTTTATGTTCATGGATAAAATCAAGGGATATATAGTAGTTGTTATTGAGTAAAATGTGATTTATATATTTTTAATTTGATGCCAAGTGACAGCTAAGCAGAGTAGATTGATATATGGGCAAAGAAATAGGATATATGGGAGTTTATAATAAATTCAGTTTTCATTTTTCCCTTGGGCATAAAAATTGTCAGAGGAAGCATACTATTCATTATTGCATATTCTTTATTTTCTTTTATCATTTTTATTTTACATTTATCAATATTATCAATTATTCAAAGGCTATCAATTATTATCAATATTTTTTATCATTTTTATTTTACATTTACTCTTAGTGTTATATTATATAATCTATAGTTCGATATTCATAATTTTAAGAATTTATTCTTTCAAAAATTTACTTTTCCACCTTTATATATTTTAATTTTGGAAAAAAAATATGGAAGATGTCTATGGACTGTTAAGTGTTCTTCGGCTGTCGGCGTCGTAATAAATCAGCTGGGCCTGGGCTTGTGCATTATTATTGTTTTTCATACATTGCATAAATAAGACAGAAACGACTTGCAAGTCCAGCAAGGTGGTTATATGTCTTTTTAAGAAAAAGTATGGTGTTGAATTTTAAAAAAAGATATTAATGTTTAATTTAATTTGTTCTTTTTTTATTTATATAAGTCTTTTTAAGAAAAATTACGGTACTGAATTTTAGAAAAATACCAACGTCTGCTAAATAAGATCCGAATGACATGAGATGAATCACGAACAATTTGTCTTGTAGAGACAACAACGAATGACACGGCATGAATCATGAAAAATTTATCTTTCGATAA